CCAGTCGGCTATTTCGAACCTTGATCCGAAAAAAAAAATGACGTGCATCAAGGTCTATTATGTTTAATGTATGTACCAAATTGAATGAAATCCGTCCATGCATAACTGAGATCCGGGTCCGGAATGGTGAAAATGTGCGATTTCAATGCATTTTCGGCCTTAAAGTGGCCGCCATTTGGCTATCGTTAATGAGATCATGAAACAAATGCACATACATATTTGTGACATGATGTACCTTGTGTGTGTGAAGTTTAAACTCGATCAATCCAAGCATGTCTCAGATACGGATCCAGAACTGAATTCTTTAAAACAAAATGGCCGCCAGTCGGCCATTTCGAACCCGATCCAAAAAAAAAAATGACGTGCATCAAGGTCCTATTATGCTTAATGTATGTACCAAATTTGAACAAAATCCGTCCATGCATAACTGAGATCCGGGTCCGGAATGGTGAAAATGTGCGATTTTGATGCATTTTCGGCCTTAAAATGGCCACTATTCGGCTATCGTTAATCGGATCATGAAAAAAATGCATGTGCATATGTCCCATATAATGTGTGATGTATGAGTGAAGTTTGAACTTAATCGGTCCATGCATGTTCGAGATACAGGTGATCACGGACGCACGGACGGACGGACGGACGGACGGACGGACGCACACAGGGCAAAACATAAGTCCCCGTTTTTGGACTGCGTCCGAACGGGGACTAAAAATATCAGCGTGGTTTTTAATTTCGCAGTAAGTCCATAAAAACGAAATTAAAACAACGCGAAAATGTTCTGTTTCAAATGCGCTGTTGTCACAGTAAACAGTGTTAAATTATTCTTTAAATGCTCAGTTTACTTTCCAAAAATAACTAATTTCTTGATTTGAAAAAAAAATCATGCCGTTTTTCCCACCAAAATCAAAGCCAAAATATCGCAAACATCGGCAAATCACTTCCGCATTGCGTTCATACATTATTTAAATGAGCTATGGTAATTTGATCACGTTGGCATCATCCAGCATTTTGATTGGTTAATTAACGACTTGACCTATCAGGTCAAAAAACGCGTTCCAGGTCAAGTCCTAGACAGGAAGCATGGCAGACATCGAATCGCGCCGAGCGTTTACATGCGACCAGAATCATTCGCTTACGATGAAATTAAGTTGAATTTTACTTGCATTTTATTTTTTGTACGTTATTATAACTACTACTGAGTAATAATCGTAACCGTGGAATGCAGCATGACCGGATTTTGCTACCGTGATCATTGACTACTAAGCGTTGAATTTGTTTGTTTTATTTTTCTGTTGATTGTACGGCAAACTGTGAATGTTTTCTAAAGAATGATATTTGTTGTATAACTTTCTAAACTGTCTGAAAACGGGTCATTTACTCAGTATTTAAAATAAAGGCTACAGTGACTAAGCGTCAGACTGTAATGTAAAATATTGTCAATAATCTATCACCAGAATGGAGCAAAAACAATGGCTTGTAACACAGTTACCGGTACTAGAACTTGAAGTGCTTGAAATAAGCGCCATTTGAAACAAAGTTGCTCAAATTTAACCACAAATAAGCGCCACCATGACATGAAAGTGTAACAAAGTGGCGCCTAATTGAAGACAAATACGGTATTATTTTAAATGACACCAAATGCAATGTCATCAGCACTGAGAATAAAAATACTGAATATAGTTGAGGGAACTTCATCCAAAATGCTAAATCCTAAAAATATATAACCAGTCAGTACTGCCCCTTATTTCAATGGCAAATCAAAAGACAATAATGTTTAGTACAGATGGCATAATGAAGCTAATACAGTGTATGATGCATATTAAAAAAACATTTACAACATATTAGTATTAGCAATTAGTTTATTTATCATAGATATTATGTAATTTTTTTAAAAGAAACAGCCATGCTAAATATACTTGTTCAGCATGTAATGGGTCTGGATCTTTGGAGAGTTTAGTTTACTTGTCAAACAGTTATTCTGTTCTGATGCAGACTCGTGCTCTCATGTAGTTATAATCTGTTTTATACTTACAGACTGACATCAGGAGCTGACAATACTTTATTTCATTATGTTAATCTTGAGATTGGTCAGGGTGTTGTTGTTTGTCCTACGCATAAAGATGTTACATTACTAGGGGGTACTGTGCATCCACAACTCATAAAAAACTTCCATAAATGTTGTCTTGGTATCAGACAAGTTTTTCACCAATCAAGAAAGCCGAGACTTAAGGTATGTTTGACATTCGGATTTAAATTGTATTCAGTCTGGTTAGTCATCTTTTTGTCGAAGTCCGAAAACAGGGACTTATAACTTGAGTTATGTGTGTCCATGTGTCTGGTTGTCTATTTCAGACATTCAAACTTCACACAAACATCATACATCTTGGAATGCATTTATTTCATAATCCAATGGTGACAATTATAGTGCTAAAAATTTCAAAATCAGACTTTTCTGCCATTCCAATTTTGGTCTAGTATAGATTTCATTAAAATTTAGTACATACATTTGATGTTATGAGTGTTTGTACAATGTAATGGCATGGTTGTGATGGTGGTTTGAAAGTAGTGCTAGTGTAGTTGCTTAAGTTGTAGTCACGGTTTACTCACATGATCTGGTTTAAAGTCATTCAGTTTCACATTGATGTGTAAATAATAAATTTCACAATATACTACGACATATGTTTTTGTGTCAAATTTTTGACAAGTTTACAACAGATGCTCAAATCTCATCACTGAACAACTAAAACTGGTACAACGCACCTCCTCAAAAAAAAATAACTACAGGCTATTGCGCAAGTCTTTTTCACTTCTAGTATTGCAAAGAAGATAGAAAATGAAATGTATGTCGATTTACTTTCAATAAACTATTATTGATATTATTTTGTGTTGTTCAACAGTCGAAAAAGACTCAACAAACCAACAGATTTGACAGAAACTATTGCTTTAAGGTTGTTAAAGAACACGGCATATTAATGCAGTGTACTCCTGAAAACTGGAATGAACAGAAAAAATCGCCACCTACCATGAATTACTGGGTTGTTGGGTAAGTATCTTTACATTCCGTGCCTTAACATAATGTAGACTGCTCGAGTTGTCACCATTTTCTGATTCACACAGTTTAGCTGAAGCAGACCAATCATGGCCTTCACTACAAACCTGTGCATGATTGTGTTAGGAAAAGCTGTATTTTTGAATTCAGTTAAATTAAATGATTTGCTCAACAATTAGCTGGACCATTCAGCATTCCTGTAACAACAACTCGCATAATTTTCAAATTTAGACAATTTTGGTTTTGTTGTCTTATATCGCTGCATAGCTTAACTGAGAGAAGCATGCAACTTCGCACATTGAAACGCATCACAACACACAACTTTGTGTTCCATTTACCATGTTTGATTTTGTTTGACAGTGAATACATGTTTATGAATTCTGCCAAGGTATAATGATGAGTGATGAGTCGATGGAGGATGAATGAACACATTGAGTTGTCATGGGTCAAGTAAAATCACAAATTGTCACAAATGTCACTGGGGTTCTAAAACAGGAAGTCATGTGACTTTTGTGAAAATTTGACCCCTAAATGATGTTGTGGTAAAAATTGAAATATCTAACCTACAATGTTCAAAACAATTGAGTAGCAAAAACTTAACTGCAAGAATTCGTGAATTTATTAAATGTGGAAAATCTAAGCATGGTTTTCTCTTGTTTTCGTTTCACATAGGAGGATATACGGGAAGCCATTTCCAAGAGAGGTTTATGTTTGCTTTCATGAATCAGCACCTCAGAACACTATTGAACTGGCATTCAAATTATCCTTCGGAGCTGGACTTTAGGAAGAAGACTGTGAGCCTGTTGTGAAGTCAAATTCCATCTGTACATACAAGAGAAAATACATTCATGTCATTGACTTTGTTGCATCACTATTATTATTGCTATCTAATGCATTTGCAATAGGGTAAAGTAGAACTTCTCTCACAAATGAACCTAATTTGGGAATGTAACTTCGCACAGTCTATAAAATAAACTGACTCATCATCATACTACATCTTCTGGTGGTGTGAATGACCTTCCTACGTAAGCTAAAATGCTAGGGTAACAGTTCTAGCATACCTGAAAAATAGAAGAGTGTTACTGGTTATAGGATTACTTCATTCAGTTGTACCATGTCACGTTTGATATTGGTTCTATGTGAAATGTGTAAAAACTCAAAATTCAAACACACATTCTGTGATGCTTTCAACATTCATTTAAAACGTACATGTGTGTATAAATGGTGTTTAATATCTTTTGATTTCATTATATTGAAAACACCCATCTGTGCTAAATCTGATCCAATAAGATATGTGCAATTATCATAATAGATAAATCTGAGAAAAAAATCTGGAAACTCAAAACCTGATGTAAATTTTCAAGATAGGCCCATGGAATGGTGTATAAGTGATATACACTACTGTATATTCCTTGATTTTTGTGTTAGATGTCCACTGGTGCTATTGGTACAGGTTACCATGGATAAATATGCATATGCTAGTAACTGTATTTACTCGTGTTTTTTGACATTTAGTATTTCACTTTTTCACCAGGTTTGGTAGTTTGGTATTTCTCACCAGACATAGTAGTTTGATATTTCTCACCAGGCTCAGTAGTTTGATATTTCTCACCAGGCTTGGTAGTTTGGTATTTCTCACCAGACATAGTAGTTTGATATTTCTCACCAGGCTTGGTAGTTTGGTATTTCTCACCAGGCTCAGTAGTTTGGCATTTCTCACCAGGCTCAGTAGTTTGGTATTTCTCACCAGACTTAGTAGTTTGGTATTTCTCACCAGGCTCAGTAGTTTGGCATTTCTCACCAGGCTCAGTAGTTTGATATTTCTCACCAGGCTTGGTAGTTTGGTATTTCTCACCAGGCTCAGTGGTTTGGCATTTCTCACCAGGCTCAGTAGTTTGGTATTTCTCACCAGACTTAGTAGTTTGGTATTTCTCACCAGGCTCAGTAGTTTGGCATTTCTCACCAGGCTTAGTAGTTTGGCATTTCTCACCAGGCTCAGTAGTTTGGTATTTCTCACCAGACTTAGTAGTTTGGTATTTCTCACCAGGCTCAGTAGTTTGGCATTTCTCACCAGGCTTAGTACTTTGATATTTCTCACCAGGCTTAGTACTTTGATATTTCTCACCAGGCTTAGT